AATATATGATTTTCATATATTTATTCTATCTCATTTATCACTTTCACGGGTTCATTACGAATCAACTTAACGGCCTGCTCTCAGTTGGCTTGTTAGCTCAATTGGTTAGAGCGCTGCACTAGTATCGCAGAGGTCAGTGGTTCGAGTCCCGTACAGGCCTGATTTTTTTCAGGTCTGAATTTCGCTATTGCTTAAATAGCGCTATCTACTGCGAGGATCGTGCATCATACGTATCAAATACCGCAGTTCAATATATGATTTTCATATATTTATTCTATCTCACCACCAACCCTGTCGCTTTTTTCCCTAAACGTAGCATAAAAAATTCCAAGCTATTTTTAAAAAGCATTAAAGTCATGTTTTGTAACCTACAATAGTACCACAGCAACACCTTACCCTCTTGAAAACCTATATGTATATAACTCAAAATCCAGTGCGGTGACTCATGTCTTGAATTACAGTCAGTCAGTCCAACATCAATGATATCTTTCCGGCGTTTTACAAAAATTGCACAGTTGGCTCAACACCCTCTTAATACTTATTTTTGTTTTCCTCTGTTTCGTTTCAGCCATCCCAGGTCATAAAATCAAGATAGTAGGCTGTTATGTAGAGAACCCAGCCAAACGCAATATACCTGTTACACTATTCAGCGACTCCAGCGCGAATTCTAAAACGAAGATTGACTACAAAAATTTCAAGGGGTACATCCAAGGAGCTATTCAGAGATGTGCAACAGCGGCTAAACAAAAGAATTACGCATTTTTTGCCATGAATAACGTAGGTGAGTGTAAGAAGTTATCTTTCCAATATGGTTGGATCATTTATTGACTCAGTTTGATCGGATCACTGTAAATCACTCCGGTAGATCTGTACCAAGCAGGCTGTCAGTAGCCTGATTATTACCCCCTACACTGTTCTTGTCAATGCAGCCACCTTGGCCACGACATTATACTCTAGAGGATTAAATTGAAAAACAAAATTTGACCTGGCATCATATGTCTACAGACTAAGAACATCTGATGTAGTCAATAAATAAATGAACAAACGAATAAGGGTAAGAAGGATATTTGCTGTAAGCTGAATGCTATGATCAGAAAAGCAAAAATCAACGATTTTTTAAAATGTTTATCCGTTCATTAATTTATATTCACTTTTCTTTTCCGCTGCTCCTTTGCAGGGGATTGCGTTTCTGGCAAAGTCTCCGCCACTTATGCAAGGAGCGGGTCTTCAGCGAATTGTAAAAACTCAGCGGGGGCAAAGTGTAACAACAAGGAGGACTGTGTGGGTGGTGATACTAAATCTAATTATGTTTACAAGGTGGAAAGTAAGTTTGAAAGAAACTATAGTATCTAGTTATCACTCTCTTTTTTTTTTCTCCTCTCTCTCTCTCTCTTAATTTTGTTTTCTCGATGAGCTCTTTGTTTTGAATTTTGTTCATTAATACAGCCAAATGTAATATTTAGGAAAAAAAAGAAATACTTTCGATCATAATCACGTTTACAATAAAGAGAGCATCTTGAAGATAGTGGGATCAGTGAGATCAGGAACGTTTAAACTGAAGTCAATCAAGTTCTCGTTTACATAGTTGATTAGGCCAGCTAGTGCATGAAATGAGTAAACTCAAAAGATAAAACCAAAATGTAACCAAATGAAGCCAAAATTTCCGTAATGATTATCGTAAACTTACTTTCAGTGCTTCCAACCACGCCGACTACGAAACCGACAACAAAGAAGACAACGAAACCAAGAAGAGGTGCCACTACTGCTGGATCCGCCGCCAAACTAAGCGCTTTGATTTGTAAGTAGCATCAACGCCTTCGGGTAAGCATTTGAGTAGATCATGGGAAATATTGAGTACCATCGAGGTCCTCCTAACTGCATTCCTACGGTTTTTAACATAGTTGATGAGGCCACTAGAATTCTAAACTGTAAGAGAAAGACATGGAACGCAAGTGACGTCAATGTCAAAGTTATTATAGACGATAAGTTATAATATAGTCTTCATTTCAGTTCAAAGGATAAAAAACCTTATCACCTTAGCATAAGTATGCCGTTATCTTCTCAATTTCCAGGTCAGAACTACGTGGTTGCGATCAAAGCTTCTGCTGCCGGTAGCCCAAGCAAACCAGCTATCCCCACCCCCTCTAAAAAACCCACTGCGGCGGGAAAATCTACAGGTCCAACAGTGGCAACACCTACTACATCCTCAAAGCCATCAGGGCAATCAGCCATTGAGGCCAAAGTAAGTAAATAAATACTGACTAGGCATCAGAGAATTGTTAATCGGTTTAAACATCAAGAGATTCTGTGAACGCGGTTCGGACCATTTACGGCATGGATTTGAGGAGCTAAATGGTAACGTTTTGGATCCCTTTTGCAAGGTCGAAATTTCAATTAAACTTAGATGGAATAAACTTAGAAATGACAGTTTTCCAGGAGAGGAAAATGCATAAACAATGAAAGGGAGCACACTGGAATGGGATATGATTTAGACAAAGCTTTTCAAGATCTTAAACTCGACAGTATTGGTTGATCAAGGTTGACGGCAATGCAGCTCAACAAGATCATACGTTTACGATCAAGAAGCCGTTTTTTTTTTCTTTAAGACATCATTACATGCAACATGTACGGAAACATAGTTTGCTCTTGGCCCGCAAAAATTACCCCTATGTGACCTGGTCCTTTTATGAGAAAGGGAAGTAAAATTGAAGATACAAAATTTTGAATAGCTCAATAGATTTTTGTTTGATTACGAACCTAACTTTCATACCAGAAGAACTAAAAAATAACAATTCGAGCACAGAAACTTTTATAGAAAAAGTTATCAAATGATGCGACGATAATTGTTGCCGACGAAAATAACATACCGCAAATTACACAAGAGATTGGCATAAAATACTTGGTGTACTTCTTTTTTCAGATAAAGAAGCTTTACCAGGGATATACATGCCTTGTTTGCTTAAGGACGTTAAATACAAGGTACTTCTTCCTACTTGATACATACAAATCAGTGAGAATTGCATATTTTGTTTTCTATATCATGTTCTTATTTTTCTTTGTATTGAGAACTAATTGTCAAACTTCGTTTGTTCGATCGCTTTTCAGTTCATCAACAGTGTATCTTATGCTGCAATTCAGTTGCCAAGGACAACATTTGCAAAAACTTGTTGCGGGAATTGGTGCCAGTAACATCGTCAAAGCAGGTTTGAGCAAAATGTTAATACAATAAAATTGAATCATTTGAACAAACATTTCCTGAAACAAATAACCTACTTTTGTCGCTAAATTTTTCTTTCAGAATGCTACCCACCGCCCTGCACCGCAGCTATGTCTCCATGCCCTCTTCCTTGTGGAATGAGCTCATGCCCCATGTCACCAACCTTATCGTATCCATCTACTTGTCCAGCGACTTTACCAGCACCTGCTCCACTTCCAGCACCCCCACTAGCCCCTTCACAGTGCCCGGCACCTTGCCCGTCGATGTGCGCTCCAGCATGTAATTCGCTTTGCTGCCGGTCTATGGTTCGACAGAAAGGCGAAACGGGAGAATCTTCTAAGAAATCTTCCACGAATGAAGCCGATGATATTGATGACGACGATGACGACGCAGACAACGATGAACAAGATGATGATGACGATGTCGAAGAAAATGATGACTCTGACATCGAGGAACCAACTGAAACATGATCTATTTCTTAGATGTTGGGTTTTACTGTTTTATATCATTATTGATGTTAAAAAAATCCTCGTGCATTGACGCAACGAAGAATTTAACTGCTTCTAATAACCGTGAATTAAATTCCTTGAAAGATGAAATGAAATCAAAGTTCCTGAAGAAAAGTGCTCTCCAGGCAAGGGTTGGAGCTTTACTTCAAAGACTGGCAGGGATGTTTCATTCCGAAAAATCTGATTATTTCCCAATGCTCTTACTTTGAATGAATAGATTCTTTGAAAGATGAAATCAAATCAAAGTACCTCAAGAAAAGCGTTCTCCAAGCAAGGGCTGGAGTTTTATTTGTTAAGACTGTCAGGGATGTTTCATTACGAAAAATCTGATTTATTTCGTAATGCTCTAACTTTGAGTGAGAATTTTGGGCGTCAAATCACTCCCAAGACCAGCTCGAAGTTACGTGAAACTATAAGCTAACCTTTCTTGATTAATACGGTGTATCTAGTTGGAATGTATAGGGACATCGATCGAAAAGGCGGTGTAACCGAGGAGATTATAAGTAAACAAGTGTAAGATATTAGCAAGCTTTGATGGAAATTAGGTATAACGGAGGAAAGATAACATATTTTAATAAATTTTCTTGCAAAAGAATATGTTGCTGTTTTTAAATTATTTAGAGAAAACAGAGAGGCAATGTTGTTTCTAATCTATGGTTGCGTGAAATTAAACAATTCCATTGAGCTTGCACTTGAAATGCCGACTATTATCTTCGATGTTCGGGGCATGTTCCCCAACACTACATATACCCAGTAGTGCCCAGACCCTAATTAGCTAACTGAACTGAAAAAAAGCTTTAAGGGCCCAGAAAGGGGGTCATTATGTAGTGTTATTATGCAAGCTACTGAACTAATACCATGCTCCTTCTCTACTAAATTAAAGATATTACATGTCCACATGCATTAGCTTACAACAAGAAGTATGAGCTTGTTTATGGAAAACGAGCGGTCGATCGGCTCGCACATAGGACGATAAGACGATGACAGCACAAAATGAGGAGATGATAAAACTGTTGGGTGACTTGAAAATGACTTTGCATGCGTGCATATCTATTGCAATTTTAAGCTTGGGTTTTCATCTTGTAACTCTGAAATTAAAATTATTTTGTGTGTGTCTGATTCTTACACATATGCATCAAAATCACGATATATTATGGCTATCATAAGATGCGACATTTTGCCTTCGTTCTTTCAGTATAGAAGAGCACAACCAAAGGTGGATAGGCGGACCAGCAAAGAATTTAAACTCATCATTATCATATAACCCGCATGGCATGCCTATTCACGACGATATAAATCATTTTATTATTATTATTTTCGGAACAGAACTTGACTTAATCTCCCAGTCATTATCAAACCAAATAATCCTGTGTACCTGATCCTCTGCCTGCAGTGGTAATGAAGGAATGTTTCAATTTACTAACTCCTGTGTTGACTAACATAGTGAATACATCTTTATCTACTGGAGTTATGCCTGATGTCTTGAAGATTGCAGCTATGACACCGACTTTAAAGAAACATAATGCTGATTTCACTAAATATGAAAGTTTTCGACCTATTTCTAATTTGAAGTTTGTGTCTAAGCTTGTGGAAAAAGCGGTATGTGTCCAGCTTACAGACTATATTACATCTAATGGTCTTTCGGAAACGTTTCAATCCGCATACAAGTCATTTCACTCCACTGAAACGGCTCTACTGAGGGTTCAAAATGACATTCTTTGTGCTTTAGATCGTAATGAGTCGGTCATACTGGTACTTTTGGATCTGTCGGCGGCGTTTGATTCGGTGGACCATACTCTTCTAGTGACAAGGCTGTCTACTTGTTTTGGTTTTCAAGGAACTGTGCTTAAGTGGCTGAAATCATACCTGTCTTCACGTAAGCTGTTTGTTAAAGTTGGGAATAGTCATTCTTCACAACGTGCATTGAAGTGTGGTGTCCCTCAGGGATCAGTTCTGGGCCCTTTGTTGTATTTGTTATACACATCACCTATTGCGGACATAATAAATGATCATGGACTATCATACCATCTATATGCTGACGACACCCAATTATATATTACCTTTAAATCTACCAGCTTGAATGACATCCAACAAGTGAAGTTGAGAGTGGAATGCTGTGTGAGGGACATTGATGAATGGATGATAAGAAACTATCTTAAACTAAACCAGGACAAAACGGACCTTGTAGTCATCAGTTCCAGATACCATCCCATGCCTGACATCGGTCACATTACTGTTGGTTCTGAGTGCATTGCACCTCGTGACTCTGTTCGTAATTTAGGGGTTCAGTTTGATAGCATATTTAGTTTTGAGGAGCACATTAAGAACATTTAAATTGTGGAACGATTTACCTCTAGAGATTAGGAAATGTGCTTCAGTGGCAACTTTTAAGCAATCCCTTAAAACTTTTTTATTTAAGTTAGCATATAGGTTATGAGATTCGTTTTGTTTTGAGATGTTTTTGATTTATATAGTAGATAACTTAGGCTATATTTGAATTATATTGTATATTGTAGATATTTTATATTATATATTTTTATATTTTATATTGTAATTAGGTAGCGCTTTGGACAATTATTGGATTTTAGCGCTATATAAATAAAATTATTATTATTATTATTATTATTATTATTAAATAAAAGCTAGTTGGAAAAACTCCTTTTTTCATGTGTTTTTGCTAAAAAAAAGTATTTTACCCAAGCTAGGCGAATCGCGCCAAATCGATAATTGGGAACTCAGCAGAATGCTTTATGCAAGAATGTACAATACCAATCGATAACATTAGCTATGGTTTAGCCCATACAACTGCTAATACTCAACAATGAGGAAAGTTGAATCTCAGTGTAAAGGCCCAGATCAAATGTGTAATTCCTAACATTCCTTTCAGAAATCCGGCATCTTATCACCTGTACATTCAAGTAACAGTACGTTGTCTGAAATTGTTCAATTCTAGAATTGTTCTAGCATGCATAGACAATCAGGAAATCCACGCTTTTAATTTAAGCTGAAAATTGCACAAAAAATTTGATTTGATCGTTTTTAAATTACCCGAAAAAGTGTGCTTCCTAACATGTCGGTGGGAATTTTTTGTGATCACATGCAGTTGAAAGGTTTGACTTCGTTATTAACAACTCAAGTTGATGTCTTTTTTTAATTTGATTTCTTGTTTTCAACCTGACCTTACAGCTTCCCTTTGCAGTTGAAAAGTATACTGAGCAATTAATTACTTCTAACTGATCGATAGATCATTGTTCTTTCCTGCTTTTTTCACAAGGAATTGCCTGATTGGTTGCAATGAAGTACGGCTCTGGTTTAATATAATATAGACTTGGTTAGGAATAAATCTTAAAATTGGCGTCTTAAGATTCGATAACGACCAGCATTTTACTGCGGAGGTTAGTTTACCATATGTGAAACGATTATCTTGAAAATTGGCTGCTTCAGTGCATCTGATGCATTGAGTCCACAAGAACTTTGCAAAGTGTTAGCTATATGAGACTTGCCGCTATCCGTCTCGTAAAAAGCAATCTTTCAGTATACAGGATGTTTTTACGAACTTAAACAACTTCAATATTAGATCAGGTATACTTTCCACTTCTTTCAACGCTGATATCTTAGGTATCTTTACCGTGGAAAGTTATCGAATCTCTTTGTAATTCCAACTGAATTTCTCACCTTGTGGCGTGGTTGCCACCTGGCCTCAAGTCTTATCTGTTCTGTGCATATCTCAGCGATCCTTCTATGATTAAAATTATTAGTAGTCTATTTTGAATCCATTTTGAAAAATCAAGTGAATGAACAAAGTGCATAGAAAAATAATAGCGCTAAAAGTACATTCAAGAAAAAATTCTGCCGAAAAGGCTTTAAATTAGATCTTAGTTCTAGCAGAATGCATAACGGCATGTACAATAATAATAATAATAATAATAATTTAATAACTTCTAGAGCGCTGTTTTCATTCAATGATCAACAGCGCTTAACAACTTAGAATACTACAGTAAATTCAAATTTATAAGACTAATTACATGTACATTAATATTAACAATGTATGTTAAAAATAAGAATAATATGGAATATCCATAATAAGGATCTTAATTAGGAATAAGGATCTTAATAAGGAACTTAATTAGTAATACTAATAAAAATAATTGTTAGACAGGGTACTTTGAGAAAGCTGCACGAAATAAATAAGTTTTCAGCTTACATTTAAAAATGGAAAATGATTGAATATCACGTAATTCAGCTGGCAGAGCATT